TATTATTATTATTATTATTATTATTATTATTATTATTATTATTATTAGGCAAACACATATTGGTTATCTTTATTTTTAAAATAAATATTAAAGGATTATATTTGAAATAATTGAAATGAAACAAAAAGATGTTTCGATTGAGATTAATGAAAGAGGCTAGAATTAATGTGTTTGTTTCTCTCCTTACTGAAAATTTGGAATGGAAAAGGTAATAATAGAATTAAGTATGCATATATGAAGGTATAATTGCTGTCATATTGGTATGTAAAGGTGATGACCTGGAAATATGTTGTCCACTAAAAAGAGATTTTTGTTTTTAATGTGAAAAACTGAATAAAATTTGTTAAAAAAAAAAAAGAAATGTTTGGCTCAGTTGCAGTCATAAATGGAGGACTACCTGTATTTTAAATCCCTTTTCCTAACAATTTCTAGAGAGTTTAGATGAGGCACTAACAGGAATGTACTGGGCTGCAGCCCCAAAAGAAGAAATTTTTAAAATGCTGCAGTTGTAATTCATTAAAGTCACTAATATTTGAGCTTGAGTGAAATAGAATAGAATTCTTTCTAGAATAGAATTCTTGTATTGGCCAAGTGTGATTGGACACACAAGGAATTTGTCTTTGGTGCATAATCTCTCAGTGTATGTTAAAAATACATTCATCAAGAATCATAAGATACAACACTTAGTGATAGTCATAGGATACTAAATAAGCAATCAAAATCATACTAGGAAACTAAATAAAACAATATCAATTATAAAGATACAAGCAACAAGGTTATAGTCATAAGCAGTAGGAGATAGGTAATAAGAAGGATGAGAAGAATAATATTAATACAGTCTTAGTAAATAGTTTGACAGCGCTGTAGGAATTAGTTTTTTAGCAGAGTGATGGCATTCGGGGAAAAACTGTCCTTGTGTCTAGTTGTTCTGGTGTGCAGTGCTCTATAGCATCGTTTTGAGGGTAGAAATTGAAACTATTTATGTCCAGGATATAAGGGGTCTGTAAAAGCCTTTATCTTATTTAAATTGATTGATTCATTCATTCACTATGTGTTATCAAGCTGGACTTGACACTTTTCCTACTTAACCCCAAAAGTGTGTGTAACCCTATTTTACCTTTTACCTAACAACAAATATCTCTGGATGAATTCCATATTTTTTTCCCTATTCCACCCAGTGCCTCACAAGCACAACCCTGTGGGAATTGCTATCTGTTTCCTCGCGCGCGTGCAAGGACAACGGG